TGTGTGTGTGGTGTTCTACGTCCTGGGTAACAAGATACAAGATTTGAAGCATGATTCAAAGAGATTATATTTCCAGCAAGAAACATAGCGAGATGATACTCCTCATACCTGCATAAACACTCCAAATTGGCAAACCAGTGCATTAAGTTTCAGGCAGCACATTGTGCACTAATTTGTAGCTCATAACCAATTATACAGAGGGTCAACATAGCTTATCCAATAAAAAAGAAAAAAAATGTAACAACAATGCAGATGAACATCATGATATCCCAGTTTCATTGGGTCGTGCAAGGTATATTTAGAGAACCAAGAAGGGAATAAATAGCCAATTTAGATCAGCCACTATAGAATGGAGGAGACAAGATATTAGTCAAAGAATGTTAATCTTGCCCTTCGATATATGTACTATGATGCTTGATATGGAAGTTGTTTATATTTTTATAGGAAAGTGTCGCATGGGCAACAAAAGTTAGTTCCCTCTATTTTTGTTTTTCCCACGTTCAGTTATGAGCATTGTTTCACCTGGTATAGGCAGAATCTAGGCACACGTTTGCACCGAACTAATCTCTTTACCTCTCTAATTGATACTTCAATTTCAAAGTAAATGGAGAGAGAAGAGAAATTTAAAAAAAAAAAAAATTCCTTTGAAAGATGCTCCTGAGTAATAAACTAACTGTAACATGCTTTATAATACAGATGACAAGTTGAAATGATGCACAGCAGCAAGACTCTAAAACAAGCAAATGCAAAATTTAGGCTTTAGCTCAGTGCTATTTTGCTTTCTCTGAATACCAAAATTCTATTTCCTCGTCTCCAAGATTTAAATAAACATAGTGGTTTAAGAACAGTCAGTAGCATGACAAGGACTGGAATACAAAAAGGGCATTACCACCAGGGGATATCTTCAGTCGCACAAATGTTTCTTGCTCCGGCTCTTTCCTTAGAATATCTGCAGCTATTGGATCAGGTTGAACACCGTGCAGGTCACCAGATACACTGTGTGTGCGAATCATACTTGGTGCAGCCATCGCCATTTGATCCCCATTGACATCTGGGCACTGTTTAACAATTTAGCAAATAGTTAGNTACTTTCAAATGCACTGGCACTTGCAACTGGAGACTTGGGAGAAGTAGGTCTCAGAGAATGTGCAGATCTCGATTTCCCTTTAAAAATAAAAAGTGAACGTCACCCTTCATGGTAAACTTAGAAATCAGTTCTAATCAAAGAAGAGAGACAAATAAGCAACATTTTGTAAACTTCTGGAATCAAAGCATATGAAAGAATCAGATACAAAAACATGCACTTATAGTGGAACGAGTTCTTTCATGGCAAAAGTTGACAAAGAAAACAATTTTACTACAGCCAGCTACTCTATGAAACGCAATAATGCACACAGTTTGATCATAACCAGAGCACAGTCAAGACAAATTCTCCCTTCTCAGATTCCACTTGAATACTGTCTCAAATACTGTCAAACAAGGTCATGACTGTATGAGAGTTAGGGCACAGCTCTTATAAGGCAGAATATAAATTACTTAAATGATGCCTGATCAAATTCGGATCTGGGATGATCAATGACCTCATTTGTTTTGTGTTTACTTCCACATCAAAAACCTAGGAAGTAATATCATGGAGTCAGCACATGGCAAAACACGATTAGCACTACCATAGTCAAGGTGTTCAAAGTACTGGGTAATGGAAAAACTAAGGACAACACAATCTACATGAGCATTATCCATATATCTGCAAGTATAGCCACGTAAAACTTTTTTTTTGAGATGGTAACATATTGCGTATATTAAAAGATCAGTACATAGGTTGTACTGAAACCATATGTATAGCCATGTACACTACTATTGCACTTGAATAAAAAGTTAAGTTATTAACATTTCACTTGACCATAAGATGGTGCTACTGAAAATCTTTTGTTATAAAAAAGGATAATTCCTTGCCATTCTATACCCCACAGCAATTGTCACAAGCAACTTGTTTTGCTTTTCGATCTCTTCTTTACCAAAGATACGTGATGCTTCAGCTCGGGGGAAAAAATTGCATTCTAACTTTGAGAGCTCATAGCATGTTGAAAGGCAACTAGATAGAGAAGTAAGATAAAAAGATGTTTGAAGATCAAGTAATTAATGTGATCAAAAATGTCTTCAGGTTATAGCCGGATCATGAAAGGATTGTTCAGCTAAATCAAAAAGGAGTGCATTTTAAAAACTTTATGTGTTTTTCTCTTTTATTGGTTTTTGATAAGTGCATGCATTGCTACATTTTTCATGGTGTACAGGCCAATTTCCGAACACCTTGACTAATGCACCGGGTACCTGTTATCTTCCAGCAACGTAAGTATGGGGCAACTCTGTCCAACAACGCTTGGACATATGGGAAGAAATCACCAAACTTTTTTTTGTCTAGGCTGGGATTTGAACCATGATCTCCCATGAACCATTCCGCCTTCATTGACTGCATGCTACACCTTGGTTTCCAGTTCATCGATCTTACATGCCACTACTTTGATATGATAGATGTCATTAAAAATCTTAATAATAGAGTCAATTCCTATCACTCACATCTGAACACCTAGTATATTGAGAAAACTTTGCACAATGCGCAGGACATGCTTAGATGTACAGCTCCTTTTTGTCTAAAACTTAGGAAAGAAGTTCCCAAAAAATTATGATAATATTGCTATCGAGTAAACCAGAGGAAAAGAAATGGGTGACTGAGATGGACATAGGATAGCACAGGGTTCTGCATGGTAAATCTGCATACACTTGGTCCAGCAACAACAGGAATGTTTGGCCATCAGAAATGCTAAGGAAAATCAAGGCTCCCCAAAGAATTGCATGTTTTGGGTGGATTGTTACATAAGCCTATCTTATCCTAGATAATTTGTTGAGAAGGAGATTCAAAATCAGGCGTGAAAAAGAAAGCCTGTAAGAAGTCAACCATTTATTTCTGCATTGGCCTGTAGCAACAGAGTTGTGGAGTATGCTTGAAACTCTTTGAACCCAAGTAGGTAATGCATAATGCCTTGAGGAAATCTTTTTTGCGACTGGAAGGGCAGCAGAATTCATACAACAGGAAAACTTGGAATGGCATTCCATGTATGCATTATGCTGCTCTTATGAAGAGAAAGGAACCATTTATACTTTGAAGGATGAATGAGATCTTTGCATAGTCTAAAAATATGTTTGTATCATAGCTTCAATTTTTAGGATAAACTAAATGTTGCACATGACAGAGATAGTTTCCTTTTTTTCTTGTTTCTTCCCTACACAGTAATTTTTTTCTTTTTTTCTTGTTACTTCCCTACACGGTAATTTCTTTACTGGTAAACTAGATCTACTCCACCAAACCCTCCTTCCCGAGAGTCAATCGTGTTCCCCACTTTGTCCCTTTAGCGACTCGAAGCCCCCAACTTCGAGGTTAAGAGGTGGAGGGAGCTCTCTGCTTGATCTAACCTCTCTTGTCAATAGGAGATACCATCTTTATACAACTATATACATAATCAGCGCCTTCTTGGCGCTAAAATGTGAGTAGAAACTACAATTCTCAATCAACTATGCTTTAATGCCAAATTAGTAAGGTCATCTATATCTCTATTCTCTACATCCCTCCCACTCTATTATATATTGTTAAAACAGAAATCAGAACAAAAAAGATTCCTTTCTTTATCCCTGACCTAACAATGCACCATCATTTCTATCCAACTGAAATAGTGGGTCCAGATTTAATTTAAAGATGAAATATCTCGGCAATTGGAAAGGAAACTAAAAGATGCATTAACCTTTTAAAAGCATGTATCTAAATATCCAGCACCAAACATCAGGACCTAATGAAGACACCAACTTGTTAATTCCACCCGTTATTTAAAACTCACCAACTTTATACGAGGCTAATTGGCACTTATTATTATATACAACTACAATGACTCATCTGTTTCAAGCATGTACGTCTTCAAATCAAGCCAAAGCCTTTTATAAGAATTAATTGTTTACATGTAAGTAATTCTTTTCTCATTTGAATATTCGGTAACTGATATTTTTTCTCCACAGTATCATAATTCAAAATGATCAATTTCTAAAGACAAAAAGCAAGTTACTACACTGGTCTGGAAATACCATAGCAAACATATATTCAATACATTAAATAAGTATAAGTTTTATCTTTATCAAGTTTCTGCACTGACGGTGTAATAAATATTTACACCTATCAGGTTGTTTAAAAGATAATTGCAGGCAATCCACTTTAAAAGCATTGGCTGAATAGAGATAGTGTAAAGCATATAATTTTAATCTTTATGTTATGTGCACTGACTGTGTAAATTTTCACTACTAGGTCACTCAAAAGGTAATTGCAGGTAACTCACTTTAATAGCACTGATTAATAGTAATATTTAACAAATGGTAAGTAACCTGTTAAAACATGTTTAAATTACATTGCTAGTGAAAAAAGTTGATTACACTGTCAGTGGATATAACTTTAATCCTATCACATACCTTCAGGAAGCGTGTGAAGCCTAGGCAAACCGGCCGGAATAGAATCCACGTGTACAGGACCATTCCTCTTTTCCTCAACCTCGCCGGAAGTCACCGTAGTCACGTCGGGGAACGAAGCTGAAGCACGGCGGTAATATCCATTACTCCCTTTCCTCCGGCTATGATTCCGCCGCTTCTCCGCAGCAACACCGCCGTACTTCCTCAAATGCTTCTCTGCCTCTTCATCGTCGACGCCCTCCGTCGTAGCCACGTCATCCCGGTCTCTATCCCTATCTATCGTTTTCGCAAACTCTAATAACTGATTTAGGGTTTTACGGTGCATATAATACGCCGATACCGCCACAAGTGATGCTCCGACTAGTGCCGCCATCGCTAGATGAACTGTATATGCATCCATTTTTTCTTCTCGAAACTTCGAGAATTTGTTTTGTCTTGGTAACTTTGTACTATAACTGTTATTTTGAAACTGAGAAAACCCTACTAAATAGTAGAGACTGGGAAAAGTGTGTTTTCTTTTGGAAGAGAAGAGGGAAGCTGGAGAGGAGTATTTATAGTGCGAAAGTGAGTTGAGTGGAATAAGATAGAGAATCGGGGTCCCGGTGGGGGGGGGAGGTGGAGGGGGCAGAAGAGCACATTATCGGACTATTCCCTTGTGCGATGAGTTCTGTTGTTTTCGATTAAACTACTGAAATGGGAATGAAAAGTATAGAAAATAAAGTCGAGGACTTAAAAGTTTATGAAGTAATTTTTTTTAAAAGCTGATCATGAGGCTGTTTTAAACAACATTAGGAAAAAGTTCTTTCTAAATTTATTTAGAAAAAGATGTCTGTGAAAGTTTATTTAGAAAAAGATGTTTGTGAAAGATGTCTGAAATGTGTATATTGAGATGGATGTGCGGATATACCAGCAGAGGCGGATCCAGAATTTAAATTTTATGGGTCATATCTATTATTTTTGCAATTTTAATAAATTTTTACACATAAATTTTTACTTAGTATCAAAAGTTATGGGTTCAATTGAACCCGGTAGTAATATACTACATTCGCCCATGTATACCAGGCTACATAGAATTAGAAATGAAGCTATTCGGGCAAGGTGGGTGTGGCCCCTGTGGAGGACAAGATGCGGGAGGCAAGACTTAGATGGTTCGGGCATGTGAAGAGGGGAGGTACAGATGCACCGCTGAGCAGGTGTGAGAGGTTGGCCTTGGAGGGCCTAAGGAGAGGTACAGGTAAGTCGAAGAAGTATCGGGGGGAGAGGTGATTAGACAAGATATGGCGTTGCTCCAACTCACTAAGGATATGACCATGGATAGGAAGGTGCGAAGGTTGAGAATAAAGGTAAAGGGTTAGGATAGATCGCCTAGTGTTGTCCTTATCTGTAACATTAGTTTTAGTACATGAGATAGCGTTTATTTATGTATTTTCGTATTCCTTTACTTATGTGTTTACTTGTCGTTGCTTTCGGTACGGCCTTCTGATTACAATACTCAATTTTAGTTTTGTATTTTTGTAGTTTTGCTTCGATTTTCTAATTGGTGTGCTTGTTGCTACCTTCTTTTTATTTTTGCTAAGTCGAGGGTCTTCCGGAAACAGCCTTTTCTGCCTTCTTGAAGATAGTGGTAAGGTCTGCGTATATACTGTCCTCTCCAAATACCGCTTGTGAGATTACACTAGGTCTATTGTTGTTGTTGTTTGTCTGTAAAAGTTGAAAATGTGTTTTTGATAGTTGTGATCTTTTCTGGAAATTCATAGGCTATTTTATAAATGAAAAAAGAATTTTGAATGATAAATAGCTCTTGTTTAATACTCCTCTGTCCTTAACTAGAAATTTCGGATTCGAGTTCTTTCATCGTTGATGGGCCTTACGCGATGCAAACCCTAATCGGATTTCCAATGCTAGAACTATACATTGCGTGTGAAATTAAGAAAAAATACGTCTACAACTTTACTTTAAAAAAAGTTATTTTTTGCTACAACAAAAAAATCAAAACTTTGATACAAACACTCTTTTTCAACAAATTACCTTTTGTCAAAAAAAAAAAAAGCATAAAACTTATAAATATGATTTTGCAACTTTAATTTTAAATACTTTTCTTTTTTCTAACGTATGCTTAGACACTTTAAGAGTTTGTTTCTAAACATCTATTCTCAGATATGTGATTCCCCTTTCAGTAATTTTCTTAGCCTTACTTATTATACATGGATCATTACTTACTTAGTTTATTTTATTTTTTAGTTTGTTTAAAAAAGAATAGTCTATTTTTAAATTTAGAAATAATTTAACTTGAACTTCAAATTCTTTCCTTAATGAAAAGTTCTTATAACCAGACAAATAGTCAGACATGTTTGACATAAATTTTAAAAGAATTATAGTCAAATGTTATGACTTGTTTAAAACAACAAACTTTAAAAATTTTTATTTTTTTTTTAAACTTCGTATTCAATCAAATAGATTTACATAATCTTTCGCTATCACTACTATTGCTGCGACGCCTAGTGCTATGCCCACTGTTTCCCTTGTCAAAAATTCATAATTTAATTAATTTAAATAGTCATATATTTCCTATCACTAATCTTTTGTTGTTACGAATGGTTTTATTTTATTTTGAATATTGTATGTTGTCTTTTTCAAAAAATAAATAAATTATATTTTCAAATGGAATCACGTGATTGTTTAGCCACGCGTAATGTTAATATCAATGAATCATTCGCATCAATTGTTCACAAGGAAATTTTGGCGTTTAACAAAGTGATGATTAAATAAAATTCACTTTTAGTTATTGTATGTTTTTCAAGATTGATCATTCAAATTGACAAAGTTACCTGATCCATGTTTCATAGATGTTTCCTTCAATCTTTGTGACATTTTTTTGTTTCGTAATTATTAAATGGAAAAAGACACAAACTAACCCATTTATTGTATGAAATATATCATATCTTTATTGTTTGGTGAATCTTTTCATATTTTGCATTGCCCGAACCGAGCTTCAACTTGGATTGGATGGATTTTACAAATCAAAATACTTAGGGAAAAGTCCAAAATTTACCTGTATAACTGTTGAGGTTTTATTTTTTAAGATGTAATATTCTTAAAATGAGGGTGAATGAGAAATGGAGAGAAAATGAAATTTTGAGTAAAATTTTAAGTTTTCCCCTCTTAACAATGAGACATTGTCCCATATTGGAAGTGGAAGACATTTTTGGTGGGTATATATATAATTGCTCTTCTTGTAGCTCTTAAAGAGTTAAGAAGAAAGCAAGCCTCGCGCCGTCGTCGTCGTCGCTCGGCTTCGGCTTCGGCTTCGGCTTCGGATTTGGTCAAATGATTGATTGATTAATTTTTTGGACCAAATTTATTTGTTAATAGTAAATATTAACGTAAGATTATCCGTATTTGTAA